CAGGACTAAGGACTGCCTCTAGCCTGTAGATGCCACTGCCCACAGAATCATGGCCCAGCCCCTTTCCTTGACATTCAGGGTCCTCAGGAGCCAGACTCCAAGCCTTCCAACTGCCCCTCCCACAGCCATAGGGGCTTTGGGTGAGCAAAACTCTTCCTGACTCCCCTTGCATTCTCTCACCTAGCACTGCTCAGGCAGTTCCCTCTGCCTCTGCGCCCTTCTCCACTGCTCACAACTTAGCTTTTCTTTTTAGTTCCAGCTCAAATGCTGCTCCTTCCCAAGACTTCTGGGTCTGCCCTCCACATTTCCTGTGGTCCTGCCTGGCCTGTATTTGAGGTCAGACCTGATGTGAGGTTTATGGGTCTCCCCCAGCCCAGCAGCTGATGTCTGATGAGTGCATGACAGAGGAGACCACCATGTGGCAGAAGATGGAGTAGGCTGTCCCCAAACACTGACTCTTCTGTCACCGTCAGCAGCCAAACTCCTCCGAGTTCCAGGAAGTTTAGCACATAGCAGGTGCTTAGCCAGGCTTTCAGATGGGACCTTGATAGCAGCAGGCAGCAGTGGCTCCTCCTACATTCCCAAAGAAACCCCTTGATTCCAAACCTCTCCAACCTGGGCTATCTGGTCCCCTGACCTGCCTAGCCTTCAGTCAGGCAGACAGCAGCATTTCCTATTCTCAGACGTCCACAGAGCCAGCCTCAACCCGCAGGTTGACTCTGATGGAAAGGAACACATATGATTTTCAAGCTGGTATCAGATATCACCATGGCCCAGAATTTCAGACTTCTGTGGACCCACAGGACCCTGTCAGGGAAGAAAGGATGGAGGGCAGCCCAGGGCACTGGGATGGTATTGGGGGAAGGGATGTTTTCCCCCTGATTCAACTGTTGCAGGAGTCCTATGAATATGACACAGTTGGACAGTGTTAGTACCATCACACTGATAGTGGAGAATCTGAGGCAGAGAAGTTAGGGCATTTATGCAGAGGGGTGGGGGTGGGGGCAAGGGTCCTTGGGAAAGTCACTTCTACTTCCCGAGTCTTGGCCAGGAGGCAGCACTTTTTTTTAATAGCATGGACCCTGGAGTCAAACAGCAGGTGTGACTTCATCGTCCTCCACTGACTGCTGTGTGGCTTTAGAGAAACTGCTTGACCTCCCTGGGCCTCATTCTTCTCACCTACCCAAGGAGGACTTGCCTCAGAGAATTTCATAAGATGGTGTAAACAGAGCATGCAGCACTGGGCCAGCTCGGAGCCCTGAAGTGGAAGAAAGCCTGGGACATTCAAGGCTTCGACAGATCTACACAGGTAAAGAGACTGGGGTGTCGCCTCCCATCCAAGCACACAGCACCCAAACACCTCAGATGGGTTCTCATCAAGCCTCTCAGAGGTTTGCTCTGGCACCTCAGACTCCCCTCTGAGCCTCCTGGGCCAGCATCTCCTCCATGGCCCACACAAATACTGAGTGTGGCTCTCTCCAGCCAGTGCCAGGGAAACCGGGCCAGGAAGCTATCCAGAATGGGCAGCCACGCTTGTCTTCTCCGCCCAAGAGCCTCAAGTGCTGTGCATCAGCGCCCTCTCCTGGCGCACCTTGATGAGACCTCCGCAGCCAATATCTCTGTGGCCAAGAATCTCTGTGTCTGTGGTTCTGCAGACACCACCTAGGAGGGGATCGTCCTTACCTTCCAAAAGATAGAGGAAGAATTAAGGCCTGGACTTTCCCAAGATGCCCAGAGAGGCAGCAGCAACACTGGGACCAGAGCCCAGGCAGCCCAGCCTTCCCACCAGCTGCTTCACCCCCTCACTTCACAGCCACTTGCCTCTGTTTCTTGACTGCCAGCTTCAAGCTGAATAGGTGATGGGCCACATTGAGTCTGCACATGCTTTGCACATACCTTCTCAAAGTGCCATCAACAAAGGAAGAAATCCTGCTCTCAATGAGAAGCTCGAAAATCATGTGCTCCTTTTCCTTCCCATCAGAGTCAGGGAGGGGGCTCAGAGCTCCCGTTGTCTGAGGCCAGTGCAGGAATGATGCAGCGGGGGCAAACGCTCAAAGAAGAAAGACAGCACAAACCTGCGGTCCCGTTTCATTAATCCTTTGAACTCAGTCCTGAGTAATTGTTGTCTGCCTGCTCTGTGGCAGAGCCCGAGAATGTCATGGTGGCAGATAGGTCAGACAGGTCTTATCTATCTTCCTGCAGCAACCAAGCATTGCACAAGGACTGAGCGGCATGGTGAGAGTTGGAAAAAGAAGCAGAGGTGCCTTGAGAGAGGGCAACGAGGTCTTGACCTCCCGTGAGGGGACTGGGGAGGCCTCCTCATGCAGAAGACGCTTCGGCATAGATCTGAAGGAGGTAGGAGTTGGCTATGAGAAGGGCAGGGAGAGGGAGCTGCAGGCAGAGGGAGTGGTCAGTGCAAAAGCTCTGTGGGGAAATGTGGCTGGTACCTTTGAGGGCCTGAAAGAAGCCGGGCTTCTGTGATGCTCCAGGAAAGGCCAGGGGGAATCCTCATACCCGGGAGTGATGTGGCCATCTCTTCAGCTCTGTCTTGTACCCAGACACCCTCCTTGTCTGCCAGCCACCGGCAGGACCTTCAGACTTTTCCCCATATCTCCCCATTTAAGGCCCAGCTGACTGAGCAGTGACTACCCACCAGGACTGTGCCAGGCTCTGCAGGTCCAGTGCAGAATGAGGCAGTACCCTATTCTCAGTGGACTCACAGTCTGGATGGGAAGACAGATTATCAACCGTTGAGTCTGACAGCAGTGATACAGATATGCTCAGAATATTCAGAAACACAGATGAGAGCTAGCAGATCCCGTGTGGCATAGGGTGATGAGGAAGGCCTTCAAGGAAGGCCTGTCAGGAGAAGGCGACAGCTGAGCTGAGTCTTAAGAAGCGGGCAGGGGTCAGCCAGGGGAGAAGGAGGGAGAAAGTGTTCCCCGCAAGGGAATAGCACATGCACAGTCACACACATGCACAGAATGTGGGACATTGAGGTGAGAACTGGAAAGGTAGCCAGACCCAGTCTCACAGAGCTACACACAACACACTGGGAAACTGGAATTTATGCTCAAGATCACAGAAAGTCATCAAAGGTCACTAAACTGAGCAGATTCAAGATTTCAGAAGCTCACTGGGACAGCAGCTGGAGGGTGGATATAGGACTGGGGCAGAGGAACCCAGGAACCCGTGTCCACTGTGATCCAGGCAGGGCAGTGGCACAGGCCTGGGCTGAGCCACATTCGGAGACACCAGTGAGGTCTGGGTGTCATTGAGGGGATAGACACTCAGGACTTTGTGGCTGGTGGGATAAGACCTTGGGAGAGAGGAATGGAGGATGGCACCCAAGGTTCTGTTTTGGGTGGCCACTGGGTGGAGGTGTGTTTCTCTAAGTTGAAGAGGCACTGGAGGAGGAAGAGAGAGTTCATCGAGGGATGCGCTAAGGTGACCTGAGCCACCCAGGTGGAGGTGTTGAGTGGAGGGACATCTGGAGTCAGAAGCGAGGTGTGGGGGTTATACGCTAAGAGATGGGAGGTGCGGGTGGGTGAGGGTCCAGATGGGGCCCTGAGGAATCCACACCTAAGCATAAGAAGGGGCCAAGGCAGCAGGGAAGAAGATGAGAACAGCTGGAGAAGTGGGAGGAAAGCTGAGTGAGGGCAGGAATCCGGAAGCAGAGGGGAGCAGGCAGCATGGGCAGGGCCTTCACTGCAGCAGGTCAGGCATGCACAGCTGGCCCAGGCCTTTGCTGCCCAAGTGTGGCAGGTGGACACGGGGAGGGGATTGTTGGCTTGCCTGAGAGAGTGGCTGGGGAGGTGGGAGCTGTGGAGCTCTGTAGACCAAAGGTGCAGCCAGGAGACTCCAGGTTTGGAGAGCCTTGCCTGATTGCTTCCTGGAGAACAATGGACTCTCTCTCCAGTGCTCTTACAGCCACCTCTGTGTAGCATCTCAGACGGACTGTCTCCTCTCAAACAGAGACTTTCCCAAAAGCAAGGCACCAGCACAGACTGGTGCTCAGGAAATTTCTGTGGCCTGAAAGGGTCAATAAGAAATGAGGAGTGGGCCACTAGTTAACAAATGCTATCAGCATAGCCCATTTGCATGTCCCACTACAGAGGAAAGTGCTCTGAGAGGTCATCATCAGGGAAGGAACTGAGGGAGAAAGGAAATGGGGTTGCTTTCTGGCCCTAGTCACACAGGGAGTGGATTTCTCTGTGAAGTTTCTTTCTCTGTGTAATGGCCAGTAGCTGCCCTGCCCTCTCACGAGTGTAGAATGCAAATGTGAACGGCAGCACACTGCAAGTGGTGCTCTGAAGTGCAAAGGCCAGGAAGAAGGGAGGGCCTAGATCCCGGCCACAGAGCCAGCATTCGGCCTGGGCTCATAGCCCTGTAGTCTGGGATTCTCCAGGCCTGGCCACGGTTGCTGGTAAACCTAGGGTCCTCCCTGCACTTCCCTGGGTGATGCGCCCCATGGGCAGGTTTGTGGCACGTATTTGGGAATGGCGTGCAGTAATTCATTTTGGAAAGTGACCCACTCCTTCTGCTCTGCTCCAACTCATTAGCAGTTCAAGCAGCAGCTTTCTGGGCCTGGGAGGCCATCCTGGGGCTGCCAGGGACACTGCCTGCCAACTTAAGACCTCCTCAATTGGTGCTGACACAGGACTGAGGGGACAATCTGCCTGGCACCCCTTAGGTGGTCTTCTAAAGGAGTAGGTTTTGAGAATTGGCAGGCTTTCCACTTGTGGATGCATTCCAATGGTGAACTCATTGAAGGGCCACTCTTCAGAGACCTGCATTTCTCATAGCGGCCCTAGGCATATATCCCGGGCATGGCAGGGCACAGCTTGGGGTTGATGCTGACGGTAACTCTGAAGCCTCAAGACTGAGTGGGTCACCATGCACAGCAGGAAGCTGAGGTGCGGGGATGGGGTATGATGGTTCCACTCCTCCCTGGAACTTTGCAATACTTCCCCAGCCAGGCGGGCGACTCCATCCCGGGCTGTCCTCTCCAGACACAGGTCCACTCTCTGTGTGCCGGGGCAGGGGAGGGAGCAATGCTGCAGGAAGCGCCCTTCACCTCCAAGTCCCCACTTCTCAGTGGACAGGCCTTTGTAGGATCAAGCTTTGGTGGTCAGGCTGTCTTGCTTTGGAAGAAGGAGATCTAGCTGACTGTCCCTGCATATTAACCTGGATGACGTGACATGGATATGTCCAGGGGGACAACAGCAGGCCCAGCAGAGGCCCCTTCCTCCTGACCATACCCTCCACCATTCTCGTCAACGTTGGGATGTCTTGGCTGAGACCCACAGCTGAGTCCCTGCTGGAAACTAGCGGAATGCTGGGTGGCTTCGAGTCTTCTTAGGAGGGGAGGAAAGAAACTCTCGTTGAAACAAAAGCCTCTCCACACAACAGGCCACTTCTCCAGTGAGCATGGGCCTCTGACCTGGGGCCTGGCTGAATGTAGGGTCTGACTACAGAGAGGGAGTTTGAGGTAGAGAGCACCACCTTCTGTTGGCCCAGGGCGGACAGTGTAGGCTGAGCCAGGGCCAGGCAGGGAGCTGGGCCCCTAGAGAGCTGTAGCTGAAAGTTAGACATGACCCTGAACCACCAGGTGCTTGCTCTAGACACGGGGCACTGAGTGGGACATATCTGGGATGAACAAAAAGGCATCACTGCCCAGCGTTGGGATGGGAGAGAGTCCACCGCTGATTGGAATCAGCATTGTCAGCACAGCACAGGGAGATAGGAGCAACGCCACTAAATGCCATCTCTGGATGGGCGGCTGGCACTTTCACTTCAAAGGCGCCGAGGCTCTTAAGTTGGCAAGGAAGGGACCCGGAGAAGGGAGGACGAAGAATTTCGCTTGATGACCCTTGCCTTTTTGGGTCTGGGATGAGCCGCGGGGAGCGCACCCTTAACTACCCAGAGTGCTGTGCCTTTAAGGTCCACTGGGGGCGTGATGTCAGCCGCCCTCCGGCACTTGGAGAGGTGAGCGCGGCAGCCCGCGCAGCGGGTGACTCGGGGGCTGGGTTTGGAGAAAGACCTGCGGCGTGTTGGAGACTCCGACTTTGGTGTTGCGGCGCGCTAGCGCCCGCGGGCCATGCCCCACTGACCCTAAGTGAGCACTGCCCCGGCTCCGGGAGGGCGAGACCGGAGCACCGGCCATGGGAAGCCTCCAGCTGGAAGACTTTGCGGCGGGCTGGATAGGAGGTGAGCGTGCTTACCCGGGACACCCGGTCAGAGAGAGCGAGCCTGGTGGAGTTTGCCGCAGTGCACCGGGGAAACTTTGCGCCTCGGTGCGCGCCCATCCCGCTCCCCGTTGCGCGCGCAGCCTGCTTTGGGGAGTGCCTGGCCCCGAGATCCCCCTGGTGGTCTGGCAATTGCCAGGGCTAAATTCTAGAGCTTCACAGCGATTCGGGCTGAGCTTCTGCTTTGCTCATTAAGTTAGGAACCGTGGGACTTGATGCAGTAATGATTAAACAGCTGGTCAAAGCCCACAGCCAATGGAGGCTCCTAGCGGCGCACACACCCTTCAGTGACCTGGTGCACACCTGAATTGCGGACGTGACTCGCGGGAACTTATGTATGAGGGTGGCGCTTGGCTGCTGACTGCGGGGCGCAGGGTCGTGGGGAGCCAGGCTTCGAGATCAGGCCGGCCCTAGAGGGCGTCCCGACTGGAAGGAGCGGAGCTCTCACAGCAGGGAGCGGAGCGCCGGCTACAGGTGCTCATTGTCAGGCTGCAAGGAGCACTTAACTGCCTTCAGCCGCCGCCAGCCGTCAGCCATCGCCTACCTCCAAGGCACCTTCTCCGGGTACTCTTGGATCTACTGGTCCCTTCGCCACAGCTCCCGGAGCCACATTTTTACTAGGCCTGGGATGGGTTGCCTGGGCGAAAGTTGCATTCATTTCCTTGCTTCTCCATTTTTCTTTACAATAGGTCTATCCCTCTTTTCTCAGCTATTAGGAAAGGGGGAAGTTTGAGGGACTTTGCTAATTGTAATAAAATCAAATAAAAAGTCTTTCTTTTGACCCATCTAGAAGGGTTATCCTAAAAGGGATGTTGGCAAATGTAGCCCCTCACCAAAGGGGGGAAAAAGATAATAAGATGAAAAGAAAAACAAACCAGACTGGATCCTAACTCCTCCCCTCCTACCTAGCAGGAGACCACCTCTCTACCCCCAGCGGTGGCTGCAGAGCCCGGCTCCACACCTTCCTGAGCAGAGGTGGCTCCTTTCACATTGAGTAAGTCTGCTGGCATAGATGCCCTTGGGTGGGGCTGAGACCCGCCTCTCCTAACTGTCCCAGCCAGGGGGCTGCGGTCCCCTGGCATATCCAGGCCCTTTTTGACTGGACATTATTCCACCATTCAGCGGGGCAGGCAGAGAGTGGAGACACTTCTGTGGGCTGCCCCTTAAATAAGCAGACTACCTTCAGTAGGGATGCAAATGGCTTGGTTTGAGAAATGCCCTGGAAGGTAGGACTGAGTCAGGGTAGTTCCAAGACTCTGATACCCCTCCCCACCCCCAAACGTGATAACACGCGAACCCTCCCCAACTCACAGCAAGTAGGGGATTTTTGTGCGTTATTCTGGTATTGTCCTTACTTTGGTGATGTTATGGAAAGTAATGGCAAAAATCGCAATTACTTTTGCACCAAACTAATAACATGCTTTTTTTTTTTTTTGGCTTCCATAAAATGATGATAAGTGTTTACTACACTTGAATACTTACTAGCTAGGTGCCAGGTATTGTTTAAGTGCTATATGTATTCTTTTAAAATAATTTTATCAAGGTTTATTGTACATATTATAAAATTCACCCATTTCAAATATACAATTCAATGCCTTTTAGTAATTTTACAGTGGTGCAGCCATCACCATAAATTTGTTTTAGAACGTTTTCATCCCCCAGTAAGATCCCTCATTTGAAGTTGAATGCTGTTCCCTCTCCTTAATCTCCTTGCTATAAATTTGCCTTTCCTGGATATGTTATGTCAATTGAATCTTGCAATATGTGATCTCTTGTGTCAGTTTATGTATAGTTCTTTAGTTATTATAACAACCCCAAAGAGGCAGGTACCATTGCATCTTTATTTTACAGATGAGGAAATTGAGATACAGAGAAATTAACTGACTTACCTAAGACCATGCATCTAGCATTGGCACTAAGATTCCAACCCAGGCTGCCTCGCACCAGAATCTGCCATCTTAATTTCATCTTAACTCTTTCCAAACAAACTTACATAACAAAATGTTGCCCTTTTTTTTTATATTACCCCCACACACATACACATTTTGTGTGAGATTTTACTGGTTTGTGAAGTGCAAAGGTCTGGAAACCACTGACCTCATAATTCCATTTTTAAAATCTCAAATCCCCTGCTTTCAAATGGGTGGCAGGGAGATGTTGGCTCAAGGCTGGATCTAAGCCTGCTCTGAGCTGAAGGATGTGTGCACTCACTATGGAGGAAGCCATGGAGCCTGGGACCAGCGCTCCTCCCCCCACTACTGGGAAGGGTCAATTGCTGCTATCACCTCTCTGCCTCTGCCCAGTTTAGTAGGTCGCAGGGCATGAGAGGGGACAGGTGGTTTTGGACCCAGGGACTCATTGTTCTGGGATTAGCTGGTTTCTTTGTCCCTAAAAATATCTAATAGTCCAGGAGCCCTTAGCTACCTTACCTGGTTAAATCACCTCTACTAATGCAGATATTTCCTTCTTCATCAGTGTACTTGGCAATTTGTCTTTGAAGAACAGTTTCCCTTTCAATTTCAGTCACCAACTGCTACAACAAGGCTGATATGGTTTAGCTGTTTCTCCACCCAAATGTCATCTTGAATTGTAGCTCCCATAATTCCATGTGTCACGGGAGGGACCCCTGTGGGAGGTAATTGAATCATGGGTACAGGCTTTCCCATGCTGTTCTCATGGTAGTGGATAAGTCTCATGAGATCCAATGGCTTTATAAAGGGGAGTTCCCTACACAAGCTCTCTTTTTGCCTGGCACCATGTAAGATGTGACTTTGCTCCTTTTTAACCTACCATTATTGTGTGGCCTCCCCAGCCATGTAGAACTATGAGTCAATTAAACCTCTTTCCTTTATAATTTACCCAGTCTCAGTAATGTCTTTATTAGCAGAATGAGAATGGACTAATACAGTAAGTTGGTACCAGTAGAGTGGGGCGTTACTGTAAAGATACCGGAAAATGTGGAAGCAACTTTGGAACTGGGTAACAGGCAGATGTTGGAACAGTTTGAAGGGCTCAGAAGAAGACAGAAAAATGTGGAAAAGTTTGGAACTTCCTGGAGACTTGTTGAATGGTTTTAACCAAAATGCTGATAGTGATATGGATAATGAAGTCCTGGTTAAGATGGTCTCAGATGGAGATGAGGAACTTGTTGGGAACTAGAATAAAAGTGACTCTTGCTATGTTTTCGCAAAGAGACTGGTGGCATTTTGCCCCTACCTTAGAGATCTGTGGAACTTTGAACTTGAGAGAGATGATTTAGGGTATCTGGTGGAAGAAATTACTAAGCAGCAAGGCATTCAAGAGGTGATTTCTAAACGCATTCAATTTTATGTATTCACAAAGATATGGTTTGGAATTGTAACTTATGTTTAAAAGGGAAGCAGATCATAAAAGCTTGGCAAATTTGCAGCCTAATTATGCAATAGAAAATAAGAACCCATTTTCTGGGGAGAAATTCAAGCCTGCTGCAGAAATTTGCATAAATAACAAGGAAATAAATGTTAATCACCAAGACAGTGGGGTAAATATCTCCAGGGCATGTCAGAGACCTTGGCGACAGGCCCTCCCATCACAGACCCAGAGGCCTAGGAGGAAAAAATTGTTTCCTGGGCTGGGCCCAGGGCCCCCCTGCTCTGTGCAACCTAGGGACTTGGTGCTCTGTGTCCCAGCCAATCCAGCCATGGCTAAAAGGGGCCAATGTACAGCTTGGGCTGTGGCTTTACAGGATGCAAGCCCCAAGCCTTGGCAGCTTACACATGATATTGAGCCTGCGTGTGGATAGAAGTCAAGAATTGAGCTTTGGGAACCTCCACTAGATTTCAGAGGATGTGTGAAAATGCCTTGATGTCCAGGCAGAAGTTTGCTGCAGTTTGCTGCAGGGGTGGGGCCCTTATGGAGAACCTCTGCTAGGGCAGTGTGTATGGGAAATGTAGGGTGGGAGCCCCACACAGAGTCCCCACTGGGGCAATGCATAGTAGAGCTGTGAGAAGACAGCCGCAATCCTCCAGACCCCAGAATGGTAGATCCACTGACAGCTTGCACCATGCACCTGGAAAAGCCACAGGAACTCATTGCTAGCCTCATGGGCATTATAATTTTTTATAAAATTATTTTTTAAAAAAGAAACCCCATTTCCTTTCTCCCTCAGTTCCTTCACCAGTGGTACCTCTCAGAGCACTTTCCTCTGCAGCAGGGCATGCAGATCAGCTATGTTGATAGCATTTGCTAACTCATGGGTGACGCTCATGCCAGCAGCTGGGAGGAAGGCTGTACCCTGCAAAACCACAGGATGGAGCTGCCCAAGACCATGGGAACTCACCTCTTGCATTAGCATGACCTGGATATGAAACATGGAGACAAAGGAGATCATTTCAGAGCTTTAAGATTTGGTTGCCCCATTGGATTTTGGACTTGCATGGAGCCTGTAGCCCCTTTGTTTTGGCCAATTTTTCCCATTTGGAACAGGTGTATTTACCCAATGCCTGTGCCCCCATTGTTTCTAGAAAGTAACTTTCTAGAAACTTGCTTTTGATTTTACAGGCTCAGAGTAACTTGCTTTTGATTTTACAGGCTCAAAGTAACTTGCTTTTGATTTTACAGGCTCATAAGTGGAAGGGACTTGCCTTGTCTGATGAGACTTTGGACTGTAGACTTTTGAGTTAATGCTGAAATGAGTTAAGACTTTGGGAGGCCATTGAGAAAGCATGATTGGTTTTGAAATGTGAGGACATGAGATTTGGGAGGGGCCAGTAGTGGAATAATGTAGTTTGGCTGTGTCCTCACCCAAATCTCATCTTGAATTGTAGCTCCCGTAATGTGTCATGGAAGAGACCCATGTATCATGGGAAAGACTGAGTGGGAGGTAACTGAATCATGGGGGCGAGTTTTCCTGTGCTGTTCTTATGGTAGTGAATGAGTCTCATGAGACCTGATGGCTTTATAAAGGGGTGTTCCCCAAGCTCTCTTTTTGCCTGCTGCCATATAAGACATGACCTGCTCCTCCTTCACCTTCCACCATGATTGTGTGGCCTCCCCAGCCATGTGGAGCTGTAAGTTGATTAAACCTCTTTCCTTTATAAATTACCCAGGCTTGTATATGTCTTTGATAGTAGCATGAGAACAAACTAATACAAAGGGCTTCTTAATCTAAGTGGCCTTGGGGCAGCCTTGGTTCTCTTCAAATTGTACAAGTCTTGTGAGTGTGTGTGTGTGTAGGTATTTTTTTTGTGAAAAGATACAGTGTATTCATCACTTTTCCAAATGGGTCTTCTTTTTAAAAAATTCTATGGTGACATTACTCACATTTGAGCATCCTGTAGGTGTCAGGCTCTCTGCTAGGTATTTTATATGCATTACTGAATTTCATTCTTACCATGGAAGCAGGAGATAGGTGCTGTTATTATTCCCACTCTATGCATGCTAAAAGTGAAACATAGAGAAGTTAAGTAACCTGCAGGAACTGAAAGTTGTCAGGTCTTTTCTTTACACATATCCTGCCACACTTTTTGAGCTGAAATTCATATAATAGAAAATTAACCATTTGAAAGTGTATAATTCAGTGGCATTTATTACATTCACAACACTCTGCAGCCATCACTTCTATCTAGTTCCAAAACATTTTTCTCGTGACCAAAGAAGATGCTGTACCCTTCAAGAATCATTCCCATTTCCACCTCTTCCCAGTCCTGGCAACCACTAATTTACTTTCTGTCTTTATGGATTTACCTATTCTGGATAATTCATATAGGTAGAGTCATACAATACCTTGCCTTTTATGTCTGGCCTTTTACATTTAGCATAATGTTTTGGAGGTGCCTCTATGCTATAGCATGCATCAATAGTTTGTTTCTTTTTATTGCCAAACAGTATTCCTCTGTATAAATATCCCACATTTTCTTTATTCATACACCAGTTGATGGGCAATTGGATTATTTCCACCTTTTGGCTATTGTGAACAATGTTGCCATGATGTGTGTGTACTTGTACTTCTCTGAGTATCTGTTTTCTGTTATTGGGTATATATGTAGGAATTGAATTGTTGGGTTAGGTTGTAGCTCTATGTTTAGCTTTTTTGAGGAATTACCAAACTGTTTCCACCATGGCTGCACCATTTTGCATTTCTACAAGCAACGTACAAGAGTTCCAGTTTCTGTACATCCTTGCCAACAGTTCTTTTCCACTTTTTTTCAATTATAGCTATCCTACTGCGTGTGAAGAGGATTCTCATTGTGGTTTTAATTTGCATTTCCCAAATGACTACAGATGTTGAGCCTCTGTTCATGTGCCTGTTGGTCATCTGTATATCATCTTTGGAGAAATGTGTGTGCAAGTCCTTTGCCTATTAAAATTATTCAGTTGTAAGAGTTATTTCTATATATGGACACTAAATTCTTATCAAATATGTGATGTCCACACATTTTCTCCCATTCTATAGGATGTCTTCACTTTTGTGTGCAAAAGTTTTCAATTTTTATGAATGTTATTATTTCTTGTGTTGTGTAGGGGAGTTAGAGATAACCTCTGACCCCCTGTTTAGCTCCTACTGGTCTCTTCACCTGAATATAAAAACAAAATTGACACGAGGCTGGTTAACAAGAGAAAAATAATACAGATTTTATTAGTTTCTCACGACATAGGGATCTTCCCAAGAGAGTGAAGTCAGGAGAAGTGGCCAACACAAGATCTTTTCATACTTTTTAAACAAAGAGTGATCAATGTGAGAAGAAATGACAGGACAAAGAAAATCTGGCTAGGGTGGTGGAATTTTGCTAGAGGAGTCACTAGAAATATGGGTAGGGGGGTATAAAACAGGTGGAATATAAGGATTGCTTCATTAAGCATGAATTCAGGGCCACTGCAGCCTTCAATTCCGAATCCCGGCTAGTAAGAGCTATTTTCTTACCCTGGTATGGAGAGGGTACCCCTCCTAGAGGAATCTTTATTGCTTGCTGCATGCAGGAAGAGGCAGGTCAGTTCACCCTTTCAGATATTATGATTTCTCAATGTTTTCAACTTGAAATAATCAATGTACCCATCTGCTATATTTTGGTGTGGTATGTCCTTCACTCCTTCAGTTGGTCATACACTTGCTATCATATCTAAGAGTCCATTGCAAATCACAGGTCAAGATTTTTTTCTGTGTTTTAGTTTAAGAATCTTATAGCTTTGCTCTCCCATTTAGATCTTTGATCTATTTTGAGTTAATTTTGTGTATGGTATGAGGTAGGGTGTCTATCTCCACTCTTTCACTCTTTTGCCTGTGAATATCTACTTGTTCCAGTCCCTTTGCCTCCCTTTTATGGAGTGATTACTTGTTTTACTCTATTTTCTCTGCCTTCCTTGGTGCATGGGCCAGTGCCTAAAACATTGGAGCCCACCCACCCCCCCTACCCCAGCAACTGACCATTGACTAACTGAGTGACTGTTTTGTCCCAAGAGCTGGCTGGTACAAGCCAGGAGTCCAAGGGCTGAGTTACCAGGCATTCTTTTTTGATCCACAGGTGCAGCCAGTGTCATCGTCGGCCACCCTCTGGACACGGTCAAGGTACAGTAGCCATGTTTCTCATTACCTCTTAAAAAGAGGCATGGAGCTGACCTGCCTCTGGGACTATGCCTGCTGTTTCTGATCTCCCAGAGAGTCTTCTGCCCAGGGCAGACTCTGTTGCCAGCCCAAGGGGAGTGGGGTACCAGGAGGTCTGGTTTAGACTTGAAACACTCAGAGGTCCAGGTAGAACTTGAGAACTAGATTGGAGATGGGAACCCATCATTACCTGATGAAGCACATAGGTGTGAGGATTCTGGAGCTGGTGGGGCCTTCCTGGCATTGGGATTATCCAAGCCCCTTGTTCTGGGATGTTCCCTAGAAAGGGCAAGAGGCTCATCTCAGATCATATAACAAGTTAAAAACTGAGGTGTGAGATGCTGCAAAGGAGCAATCTTTCACCCCATCCCCACCCCTGCACCAGTCCCCAGTGGTAAGCAGAACTTAGAGCTATGCTCTGGGAATGGAGCCATAAATTGTGCCTCCTCACTGCTGACTGGCTTCCAGATCCGTTTCTAAAGCTCTGCCTGGATTGTGCACAGAGAGGAGCCTCACAGGCCCTTTTCAAATGGCTGCTGCAATGTCCTTTCTCCCCATCTTGCTCCCTGTATGAAAATGGACCGTCTCCTAGGTCAGGGTCCATGTTCACCCTCTTCTTGATGGGAAGATCAGTCTACCTGTTTTAAATATTTGAAGAAACACTTTAAGTAGTAAAAGGGGGCATTTAGGCTCCCCAGGGGATGTCCCAATGCAGGGGGATGGCAGGCAGGACCCAGTGCTGGGAGATGGGCACACAAAGTGGTGAGTGAAGCAGGCTTAGTCGACCCTCCTGGAATGGTATAATCTTCCCATTTTATACAGGAGGAGAGTAAAGTGCAGAGTTCAGGATCCTGCCCCAGATCTCAGAGCAGGGCATTGTAGTGCTGGATTCAAAGCTCCAAAGTAAACTTTACTTCCAGGCTGACCTGGGCTTTGAGGACTTAGGAGTGAGGGAGGCAGGCAAGGAGACAGATATTTTTAGGACACTGGTGGACAATAATTAGGGAACACAACAGATGCACAAAGCATTTATGGACAGTGGTAGGTGCTAGGGGGACACACTAGGTGATGGCAAAGACAGTGACGAGAGCCTTCTCTAGTTTGAAGAGTCAGGGATGGCCTCTCTGCCAGGGAGGCAGCTAAGATGAGACTCAAATGTTACAAAGAGCCAGACGTGCAGAACTGGGGTCAGAGTGCTACTCACAGAGGGACAAGCTAGTGCAGAGACCCAAGGGTGGGAACAGGCTGTGATGTACATTCTCCAGGAAAACAAAGAAGGCCAGTGTGTGTATGGTGCACATAGTGAGCTGAGCAAGTGGTGTGGTGCAGGTGCTGGGAGAGGCCCGGGGAGAATGGGATTGCAGAGTGTGCTAGGGGCCTTGCTGCCTGCCTCCTGCCAGCCCTGCACACCCAGGCCCTGGATCTCAGAGCCCACCAAGGAGGGCTGTGCAGCAAGTTCATGTCTGAAATGAACTTACTAGCCTATCAAGGCTGAGCCATGGCTGCCCAGAGTTAGAGCCCATGTCTGGACTCCCCAGGGCTGTCCAGAGCCAAGTCAGGTCCTCAGAAACCTTTCCTACCTCTGTGGTAGCTGCCCACTGAGCCCTCTACCTTCCACGAGAGCTGGCTGGTTACCTTGCCCAGGCCTGGCTTCCCTAGCCTGTGGCCTCTGATTCTCTCCTGTTCAGAATGCAGCTCAGCACAGAGCTGGGCACAGCCTCCCTGGATGAGCACCTGCTGAATGAGTGGCCATCTTGGACCCTAGCCAAGTTCAAGCTGCCTGCTGCACACCTCTCCAGGGCTGGGCCTTGGGGAGACTTGGAGGACTCAGATGCACCCCCTAATGTCTCCATGAGAGTGCTGGTTGTTCCTGGCGATTCTCACCCTCCCAAACTCACCTCAGTCATTCCCAGTCTGTCTCCTCCAGGGATCATTCAACAAACCAATTCACAAGAATGGGTCAGTGGGGAGGCAGCATGGCCAAGCCGGAAAGCATGGGCTTTGGAACCACACAGGCTCTAGGTGTGAATCCTGTGTTTGCCATTTCCTGCTTGTATAGCCTTCTGTTAAACACGATACAAATCCTTGGCTTACAGGGTCAGTATAAGATTATAAGCATTGTTTCTGGTACTCAGTAGGGATTCAAAATTGGTAGTTGCTATTTTTATCAACATCATTCAATATATGTTAAGTTTTGCTCAGTTACCACATCATGTGACAATGTCCGGGAAGATTTTCACCAAAGTTGGAGAATGTGTTTTCAATTCTCTGATTTAAATGGTATTTACAAATTTCTCTTTGGCGGGCAGTGGGACACCTCAAAAGATGAACAAGCATTCTCCAGGTGGCATGCTCAGTCACTGACCATGGAACTGCCTGCCATAGGCCCAGCATCTTGGCAAGGAAAAGGGCTGTTGTTTCTCTAAAACCCAGGCTGACTTAATATAAGTTGGTAACAAGTCACTGTTGGGTGTGAGAGATTTAATGATAAAAATTTGAGGGTATGGATTGGTTTCTTTGGGCTGCTGTAACAAACCACCACAAACTGGGTGGCTTAAAACAGTAGAAATTTATTTCCTCACAAGTCAGGAAAAAGGGAGTTCAAAACCAAGGTGTTGGTGCCTTCTGGAGGCTCTGAGGGAGAACCTGCCACATGGTCCTCTACCAGCTTCCAGTGCCTGCTGCAGTGCTCGGCACTCCTTGGGCAGTGGCTCTGTAACTCTAGGCCCTGCCTGTCTTCATGTAGCCTCCCCTCTGAGTCTCTGTGTGTCAGATCTCCCCGTCCTTCCTAAGGACACTAGCCATTGGATTTAGCACAGTTTACAGGAGTGGAGCTCCCTGGCCACAGTTGCCTGAAAAGGCAGTCTCTCCCTTCTCTGCACTCTGCCCTGAAGCTCTGGAGGGAAGCCCTCCTGAGACATGACATCCAGTCTTTGTTCGGCCTCAGTGCCCCTGTTGCACTCCAGAACACCTTCTTTCCTTCCTTCTGGCTGATGTTTTATCAACAGACCCTGCCCACCAAGAAAGGGCCAGGCAAGTCTGAATAACTGGAAATCCAATCCTGGCCTTATCACCTACTCTCCAGTGACCTGGGCATAGCACTTAACCTTCCTGAGCCTTGGTTTCATTGTCTGTAAAGTGGGCAAGTAGCACTTCCCTGGTGGGGCTGTCGTGAAGATTGTTCACGGAGGTATGGAGGATACAGCAATGAGCGAGATGATGCTACTATCATGAATAGACAACCTAGGGCGCAGGGAGGCAGACAGTCACTTTTCTGGGGTCCCAGAACTCACCCAGCTACAAGGCCTATGCTGCTGACCCAGTGAAAGACTTCTTCCTGTGCCCTTGGCTACATGGTCTTAGGCTGAGGAGGCCCGGCTGGTACCTATGTCTGATGCAGCGTGACTAGGTATTCTAGTCAGGGCTTGGCTGCCTCTAGACCAGGAGTCCCCGACTCCCATACCACACCAATACCAGTCTGTGGCCTGTTAGGAACTGGGCCGCACAGCAGGAGGTGAGCAGTGGGCAAGCGAGCATTACCGCCTGAGCTCTGCCTCCTATCAGATCAGTGGCAGCGTTAGATTCTCAGAGGAGCACAAACCCTATTATGAACTGCGCATGTGAGGGATCTAGGTTGCCTGCTCTTTATGAGAATCTAATGCCTGATGATCTGATGGTTTCACCTCGAAACCATCACCCCACCCTGGTCTGTGGAAAAATTGTCTTCCACAAAACTGGGCCCTGGTGCCAAAAAGGTTGGGGACCACTCCTGTAGACCATTGGGACTGGACTGCAATGGACAGGCTTTGGGGTGGGGGATGTCTGCCTCCTTCTCATGAACATCCCACTGGGGGTTCTTGTTTTGCTTCAGCATGCTCCCCGCCATCACAGGCTGCCCCCTCACTACCCAGTCCAGTCTGGGGCATGCATGTTGGCCCAGGACAGTCAGGGCATGGCCTGCTCTGCCAGACCAGGCGCAGGCCAGGCAGTGACTCAACTCTAAGCACTGAGGCTCCAGCCACCTCACCTCCTGACACCGAGCACTCATCCTCTTCTCCTTGGGTTTTCAGCTGTGGGGTGTTGAGAGCTTCCAATGGGAGGGACACCATGAACTGGAGTAGCATGAGATTCATAGCACCCCTGACATGAAGCTCATAGTTTTCAGCTAAATATTGCATGAAGGGCCATGATCTTCAAGATGTATCCACTGCATTCACAGAATCCAGGGCCCCCATTCTCTATAAGGACCAAAGAAAGTGTCAGAGACCTGAGAAAACAGTATATAAGAAGAAAAGTACACAATCAAAATTAATGCTGCACTAAATATTTACAAAATATAACCTCATGTTAAATAGTCAAATGCAACTCAGCTTTCATGGAGGTCTATGTGGATGATGTTAATATGGGATGGACATTAAATATATACAATTATACTTAATTTTATCTTACTTGATACAATAGGAGCAGGTTTGCCAAAGTGAAAGAGTCCAAATCTAAGCAAGTCTTAAAATTGATTCTGCATAACCAGGAGAGAGGAGAAAGATAATGGCAAGATCATCCATTCTGTAGGCCCAAAATGAGGGCTCTGGACACCTCAGATTTGGAGATATTTTCCCTAATAACTAAAAGCACTGAGGCTGGGCTAGGGAACCAAGCTCTCTTCTCTCTTGTCTTTCATAGGTGTTCACTGAGTACGTATTATATACCTAACACTATGTATAGGTCAGAGAACCCAACCCTCAGGGTAGTCACACCTGTTAAGAGCTTGGACTGGACTTGTTTTGGTCTCAGTAGGCTACAGGTTGGTGGAAATAGCAGCCTCTGGGGTCCTGTGGAGTGAAAGGCCTGGGGGAGGAACCAAATGAGGGGGCCAGGTTCCTGGGGAAACCATGTGAGTCAGTGTGGTTGACTGAATGATGGTCCCCAGGCATGCCTGTGTCCTCATCCGTGGAACCTGTGAATGTCATCTTACACGGCAAAAGAAAACTTTGCAGGTATGATTATGTTAAGGATCTTGAGATGGGAGGATGACCCTGGATTATCGGGGAGGTTCTTAAATGTAATTACAAGTGTCCTTATAAGAGGGAGGTGGAGGGAGATTTAGATTTCTTCCTACAGAAGAGGAAGAAAACAATGTGATAACAGAAGCAGGGAGAGAAGAGGAGCCATGATGCTGGGGCTCTGGGAAAGGGGGTGAACCCCAAAAGCTGGGGGAGACAAGAAAACAGATTCTCCTCAAGAGTCTCCCGAGAGAGTGCTGCCCTGCCAGCACCCTGATCTTAGCCCACTGAGACCCATTTCAGATTTCTGGTCTTAGAGCTGTAATAGAATGCATTCATGCGGTTTTAAGCCATGAAGTTTGGAGTAATTTGTTACAGCAACAACAGGAAACTAATGTAAGGAGTCAGTTGTGTTCATCTGTAAGATGGGACCAGTATCAGTGCCTTAGAGCATCTGTGGGATTTAATGAGGTCAGTTTTATATTCGGTTGTGTCCATCTGTAAGACGGGACCAGTATCCATGCCTTACAGCATCTGTGGGATTTAATGAGGTCAGTTTTATATGATGGTCAGTATGCAGTTGATGCAATTAAATGCCTTCTCCTGCTATCACTGGGGGCCCTACAGACTTGGGCTTTGCTGCTGGCCTCAGTGCCAGCCTACCCGAGTGGTCAGCATGCCTGACAGACCTTTGTTCCATGGCTTTGAAATTATTCTGTGATCTAGGTTTGGCTCTCAGGTTGAGTTCCTTCATGTATTATTGGCTTGAGTGACTCAACCACTCAATTTTCTTAGCAGGAACTTGATTACTTGTTGCAGCGGGTGGGTGGTAGTCAAACATCCTGTGGATTCACTTTCCAGGGACAGCCGTGGGAGAGTGTTGGACATCATGACAGCCTTACATGGGGCACAGGGAGAGACCTGCACCCCTCCAGCACCTCCTAAGTTACCACCTGGCCCAAGTCATTGTCCTGGTTGTGGACATCCCACTCCGAGATAGGCCTCTGTGGTTCTGCTCAACAAGAAGACCTTGAAGGCCCAGTTCTCATCTTGCTGCATCTTCCAGGGAGTCTCCCCCACCCAATTTAAAATTACCTTTTCCTTGTTATCAACCAGCTCTTCTTATCCTTGGTTTATTTTCCTCTATAGTACTTGTCTCCATCTAAAATATATATTTACTTGGGAATTACTTTTTATTGACCATCTTTTCTGACTCCACCAGATTGTAAGTTCCATGAGGGCAGACTCTGGTTTCTTTACTGCTGAATTCCCTGAGATTGGAATAGTGCCTCCAATAAAATAGGCCCTGAACAAATATTGATTGAGTGAGTCAGTAAACACACTTCTCTGATTATGAAAGTAATACTTATGAACAGGGTGTGTACTATTTCCTATATTTTCCTATGGCTACATATGTTTATAAAACTATTTAAATGGGTGCTTCTCAAACTCTTGGCCATGTTATTAGCCATGGTCATAAACTCAGGGGAGGAGCAGGGTGAGAGCAAAGGTGGGTCCAATGAAGCTTTAGCCTTACATGTGACATTAATTTGTTGTTGTTGTTGTTTTTGAGAAAATGTATTTCCATATGAGTTGTATACTTTACATTAGTTTTAAACTACATAAACTACAAATAATGAAAGTAACATCTGCTGATTGTAGGAAAGTTGGAAAATGCAGAAAAGTCCCATGCAGGAAAACATTGCCTGTGATCTTCAACTCTGAGATCACCATTTTAACTACATGTACCCTTCCAGGGCCTCCTCCACTTGTCCACAGAGCTGAGCTCAGGTGGTTTGTGTGAAGAGCTAGCCTGCTTTTCTGGGTCTCGGCCTCTCACTGCAAACTGGGCCGCATAGTATCTCCTCTTTGGTGGTCTCATGGCACCTTTGTGCACAGGCATGACATGCTGTGCATGCTGACAAAGTGTTTTGATGGAGAATTATAGGCTGCACATCTTAAAATAAGTGGAACCCTCTAAGGCTAGGGCAGGGGTACTCTTGAGTGGACTTACTCAGACCCTCTGTGCCAGTCAGCTGCTGCCCCTGGTCACCAAAGCCAGCCTCCATTAGAGGCCACCACACCTTAGCCATACAGTCCTTTTTCAGTCAGTGCAAAAGGACCACTGTGCCAGGGCTGTGCCCAGCTCTGGAGATGAAAGGAAAGTAACACAGGTGGTCCTACCCTAGTTGGGTGACCCAACATAAACCCTATGTAATCAAACACATAGGGCCACTCGACATTTCGACTCAGACCTAAAAGATGAGGAGGAGCTGGAGGAAGGGCCTTCCAGAAGTGGGGAACAGTACGGGCAGCTGGATGGAGGCAGGAAAGAATTGCTGCTGCAGGGCCTGGGAACATGCAGCTCATGCAGGGCCCGGGGAGAGGAGATGGCACATGGGGTGAGAGACAGGTGCCTCCCAGTCTCAGGGAGAGTGCAGAATTTATCCTACATTTGATGGGAGGCCACTGGAGGCTTCATTGACCTTTGAAAATGATCAGTCTGCCTGTTGTATAAAGAGAAATGGAGGAAGTGAGGGAGAAGCAGGAGACCAGGGAGGGCTTCAGGCCATGTTTCTGGTGAGGATGAGGGGTGAGGCCTAGGGTGGTGGTTCTAGGGACAAGAAGAGCAGGTCTCCCCCAAAGATATTTTAGAGGGGGCAGCAACAGACAGCAGATAGGGTAGAGTCCCAGTTTAGTTTTTATACTCAAGAGGCGGGGATCAACTAGCTGGCCTTTGCCATTCTTTCAGCAAAGCAGGCTTCTTTGCAATGAGTGAGTCTGAATGGGACATTAGAGGGAGGCAGTGCAAGCCAGAAACAGAGCACCAGCCTGGCCTGGACTGAAACCCAGACCCTTTGCTGGCAGGGGTCACTATGAGCAGGGCCTCTCCCTCCGAGCATCTTTGGAGCAGTGGGCTATGAGTGATCTCTGAGCCGATCCATGCCTTTGCCTCTCTCCACAGACTCGCCTGCAGGCCGGCGTCGGATACGGAAACACCCTCAGCTGCATTCGCATGGTGTACAGGAGGGAGAGCGTAAGTGCCTCTTGGGCGGGTGGAGTGATGCCAGCCTGGGACCCCACGGGCTAGGGACCAGGGCCACAGCCCCACACCGGCTTGCAGGTGGGGACCTCTCATTCTGCTCTTCACACTCAGCTCGATTTTCCCTACTTCATCTCACACCATACCTCAAATATTACGTGTTACCTAAACTCACCCCTGCCACCTACCGCAGCATAACTGAAGAAAAACTCCAGTTTTGTGTAACCACTATGGAGAAATCCTGAAGAATCTGGAGCCACAGTGTGGAAAATTCCTGCAAAAACAAGGTGATTACTCAGTTTTTCACAAAGGAACAAGTGACTGGCAAACCGTGTGCTGATAGACCTCCCTTTATCTGGCCCGGCGGCAGTCAGGCACGTCTGAGCCTAGACACCAGAGTTTACCTGTGCCCAGGTTGCTTGAGACCATGTGATCTGAGGTGTTCCTTTTCCAAAGGGAAAACTGAATGATACCTTGTAGAAGATACATCAGACTCCCTTCTTGAGAACTGGCATGTGCTCCCGGAACACTTTCTGAGGCCACTCTTTCTGGAATTTAGAATAAACTTTAAAATTTTGAATGAAATGACCTGATTTAAAGAAACCATCAGGTGGAACCCTGTTGCAGCCCTCTGACTTTTCTCTGAGTCACTGGAAATGTGGCCCCAATGTAGCCACTGTCTCCACCGGACTCCATCCTAACAAGTGCCCTGGGGCTCGGAAGCCTCCTGCAAGCACCTAGAGTTTTCCCACAGATGAAGTGTGTCTTGCATCAGGCTGTTGTTGTAACTCCCTTGATCGGCTGCTTTACAACTGGGGCGAACACTGCAAGCCTAGCACTTGGTGTTCCCGGGTGATGTTGTGGGAGTCCACAGTCCCCTGAAAGTGGCTGTTGATTCTCCTTTTGGCACACATTCCCGACAGTGTCTGCCAGCCTGTGTCCCAGCTCCGGGGTTTTGGTGGGGACTGCGGGCGGTTTCTCTGAGGCATAGCAGCTCATGGCTAAGCCACATCCAAGTTATCTGAAGGATCTTGCGATGGAAGAACAGTATGAAGCAAGATGTGTTCACATGTGTGTGTGCATACATGTGTGTATATATGCACGTGTGTGTGCATGTGCTGGTGTGTGTGAGGCACCCTGCCTCTGGCAGCCAGGGTACAGTGCGTGCAGCAAGGACTAGTGGGTTTGTGCACAGCCTGGAGTCTGCACAATAGCTTCCCAGTACTTTCTCACATTTGATTTGGCACGCGTGTGCTGCCCTGACTCCTCCAAGGGCCTGTGGAATTTTCCGGTTTTCCTCAGCACATCTGTGGTGTTCATCAAGAATGCCGTGTGGAAGGGACCGAACCCCAGCCTGCAGCACCGCCTCCTCAGCCTCCTGCAGCCTGTGTGTGCGCATCCTGTGTCCTTGTGTAACCCCTTCAGCTACTTCTGTCAGGAGACACCCATGCTGGTGGGCACTCATCTACAGGCTGGCCCAGGCACCCCTCAGGGATCTAGGGAACCCCTGTCTTATACTACAGGCTTAGTAGGCTGCCTGTGTTGTAACTGCCTGTCAGTTTGTTTCGCACCTCACTTTCCCCAGACTATGAGCTCAGTGAGGGCAGAGGCCGTTTCTTTCTTACGGTTGCTCCCCAGGGCCTGGCCCCTGGCTAGTGCCTGGAGAATGTTTTTACTGTGGTGTATGAGGTGGGGGCCTGTGGTGCTTGGCCAGCCCACTGCTCCTAAGGTCTCCTCAGGTTCCCCCGTGGCCACAGCCTGACTTTTTTCCAGCCCAAGATCACTGCCCCTCCCGGCACATGTGGGTTCCAGGCCAGGACGCCACCCATAGGAAACAAGGCGGCTTGCAGAAGCCGGACTGTCATCAGAGCAAGGATGCCTGCCCCCTGAGCGGCCCCCGGCCCTCTGTCTCCTGTCGCATCAGCACCCTCTTCCCCTCTCTTCGTTGACACCTGGGCAGATGTGTCCAGTGGTGTTCCCTGCCATCCTGCAGGCCCTGCGACGGCAGCCCCGGGTCCTCACGCCTCTTCCTTCTGGGTTTCACTGCAGGTGTTTGGCTTCTTCAAGGGCATGTCCTTCCCCCTTGCCAGCATTGCCGTCTACAACTCCGTGGTGTTTGGGGTCTTCAGTAACACACAGCGGTTCCTCAGCCAGCACCGCTGCAGGGAGCCCGAGGCCAGTCCTCCACGCACGCTGTCGGACCTGCTCCTGGCCAGCATGGTGGCCGGTGTGGTCTCTGTCGGGCTGGGAGGGCCCGTGGACCTCATCAAGATCCGGTTGCAGATGCAGACACAACCGTTTCAGGACGGTAAGAGGCCAGGGGAGCACAGGCTGGTGTCTGGGACCTGTGGCCCTTTCTTGGTTTGTGGGATCTGGGATGTGGTTGTTAAAATCCTTTTATTGAGCAAGGCATCTACCTTGTCACCTGGTAGTCCGTAATTACAGGCATACCTCAGAGACAGGGGTTCGGTTCCAGACCACTGCAGTAAAGCAAATATCACAGTAAAAGTCACATGAACGTTTTGGTTCCCCAGTTCATTTAGTGTACTTCATGTAACACGTAATATCTGAGGTGTGGTGTGAGATGAAGTAGGGATGTACATAACTTTACTGTAGTCTAAGTGTGCAATGGCATTATGTTTTAAATATATATATATATTTTTATATATATATACACCTTAATTTAAAAATACTTTAGTACTAAAAATTATTGACAATTATCTGAGTCTTCAGTGAGTTGTAATCTTTCTGTCGGTGGAGGGTCTTGCCTCGAAGTTGATGGCTGCTGACTGGTCAGGGTTGTTGTTGCTGAAGGTTGGGGTGGGCTGTGGCAATTTCTTAACATAAGACAACAATGAAGTTTGCCACATCCATTGACTTCCTTTCACAAAAGTTATATCTATAGCATGAGATGCTGTTTGATGGCATTTTGCCCACAGTAGAACTTCTTTCAAAATTGGAGTCAATCCCCTCAAACCCTGCCGCTGCTTTATCAGCTAAGTTTATGGAATATTCTAAATCCTTTGTTGTCATTTCAACAACATTCACATTCACAGAATCTTCACCACTAGTAGACTTCATCTCAAGAAAAACTTTCTTTCTTATCCATAAGAAGTAACTCTTCATCTGTTAAATACTGTCATGAGATTGCACCATTCAGCACCATCTTCAGCCTCTACTTCTCATTCTAGTTCTCTTGCTTTTTCCACCACATCTGCAGTTCCTTCCTCTACGGAAGCCTTGAAGCTCTCAAAATTATCTGTGAGGGTTGGGGTCAACTTCTTCCAAACTCCTGTTAACATTGCTATCTTGACCTCCTCCCATGAACCCCAAATGCTCTTAAGAGCATCTAGAATGATGAATTTTTTCCAGAAGGTTTTTCAATTTACTTGGTTCAAATACATCAGAAAAATCACTGTCTATGGCAGCTATAGCCTTAAGAAATGTATTTCTTAAGTAATAAGGCTTGGAAGTAAAAATCACTCTTTGATTTAAGGGCTGCAGAATGGATGCTGTGTTAGCAGGCCTGGAAACAACATTCATCTCCTTGTACGTCTCCACCAGAACTCTTAGGTTATCAGATGCATTGTCAATGAGCAGTAATATTTTGAAAGGAATATTCTTTTCTGAGTAGAAGGTCTCAGCAGCAGGCCTAAAATACTCAGGAAACCATGCCATAAACAAATGTGCTGTCATCCAGGCCTTGTTGTTCCTTTTCTAGAACATGCAGAGCAGATTGATTATCATTCTTAAAGGCCCTAGGATTTTCAGAATGGTAAGTGAGCACTGGGTTCAACTTAAAGTCTCTAGTTGCATTAGCCCCTAATAAGAGAGTCAGCCTGTCCTTTGAAACTTTGAAGCTAGGTATTGACATCTCCTTTCTAGCTCTGAAAGTCCTGAAGTCACCTTTTTCCAATAGAAGGCTGTTTTGTCTACCTTAAAAATGTGTTGCTGAGTATAGTCACATTCATCAATTCTCTTAGCTAGATCTTCTGAATAACTTGCTGTAGCCTCTACATCAGCACTTGTTGCTTCACCTTGCACTTTTATGTTATGGAGATGGCTTCTCTCCTTAAACCTCATGAACCAACCACTGCCAGCTTCAAACTTTTCTTCTGCAGCTTCCTCACCTCTCTTCACCCTCAGAGAATTGAGGAGAGTTAAGCCCTTGCTCTGGATTAGGCTTTAGCTTAAGGGAAAGTTGTGACTGATTTGATGTTCTATCCAGACTACTCAAACTTTCTTCATACCAGCAATAAGGATATTTCACTGTCTTATTATTTGTGTGTTCATTGGAGTAGTGCTTTTAATTTTCTTCCAGCATTTTTCCTTTGCATTCACAACCTGGTTAACTCTTGGGCAAAAGAGGCTTAGCTCTTTTGACTTGTCTCAGCTTTCAACATGCCTTCCTCACTAAGTTTAATCAGCTCTAGCTTTTGATTTAACGTGAGACACTATGAGTCTTCCTTTCACTTGAACACTTAGAGGCCATTGTAGGATTACAAATTGGCCTAATTTCAATATTGTTGTGTCTCAGCGAACAGGGCGGCCTGAGGAGAGGGAGAGAGATAGGGAATGGCTGGCTTGTTGGTGGAGCAGTCAGAATAGCCGTGATTAAGCTGACTCTCTTATATGGATGCAGCTTGTTTTGCCCCAAAACAAGGACGTTAGTGACATCAAAGATCACAGATCATCATAACAGATATAATGATTACAACAAGGTAGAAAATATTGTGAGAATTATGAAAATGTGACACGGAGATATCAAGTGAGTACATGCTGTTAGAGAAATGGTGCCAATAGCCTTGCTGGACTCAAGCTGGCCACAAACCTTCAATTTGTAAAAAATGAAATATCTGTGAAGTGAAATGAAGTGAAGTACAATAAAACAAGGTGTGGTTTTAATACTATTTAATCTGAAGCAGTAACTGTCATTAAGTATTTGGTATGTGCCAGGTACTCGCTAGGACCTTTGCATATGTTCTCCTAATTCATCTTGTAACAATTCTGTGAGGCAGATGCTGCTATCTCCATTTTACGGATGAGAAAACAGGCTCCCAGAGGTTAAAACAGTTACTCAAGAACACACGATTAGCCACTGGTAAGTGAGAGCCACCAGTGAGAGTGAGGCGTGGGAGGTTGCTGCAGGCAAATATTGCAATACCCAGTGCAAAATGCTAAGGCCCGTTGTTCAAAAATTATGCCATATTTTACAATGGCAACAGCAAAGCATTAAGCCAAGCATGGTGCTTGGATGAACACACTGGTCTCATCCCCACGAAGCTAGCCCCAGCTGAGTTGGGACTCCTACGCGTGTATGTCTCATCCAAAAGCCCAGAGTCCCGACCTCACCTGGCCCACATGCCAGGAAGTGCAGCAGACAAGGCCTTGCTCCTGACCACCCGTCTCCTGCCCTTACCTGCCCTTGCCTGTCCTTCAGCCCTTGCCTTTCCTGTTAGAGTTTCACTTCTTGTTGTGCGATGTAGCCATTTCTGCACCACAAACCTTATCTCTCGTTCCTCCTCACTGGGAAAGAGTTTTCTGCATCTTTCCTGGCAGTGGCTTTCCCAAAGGAGGGTAGAAAGAACAGGAAGGCACTTGCTGTGCGGAGCAGAGAGGGTGCCGGCTCTGGAGGAAGGATAGGCTTGCAGTGGCAGGAGACGTATTTCAGTACCTTGAGGTACTTTGATTCTCAGCTCTACCACTCAGTTCCCTGTCTCCTCAAGTTAGATACTGCCCTTCCTGAGCCTCATGCTCCTTTTCTGTGTAATGGAAAGGCTGGGCCCATAGTCCTTTTCTGTGTAATGGAAGAACTGGACCCAGAGTCCTTTCCTGTCACCTCAGACATCTGATGGGGCTGACAGTCTCCAGCTTGATCTTGGTCCTTGTGGAGAAGACTCCTTTCCCTGGCAACCTTCTAAGTAGTCCCTGTGTGACCTCTCTGCCCAGGGAGGCTGGGTTTCAGCATGTATCACAGCCAGAGCCCTAGCAGCTCACTCAGGAGCATCCCAGCCTAGCATCCCCTGCCCCAGCCCCGGAGCTGCCCAGGACAGGGTCTGCACATTCTCTAAGCATGGTGCTGCTGCTCCTTGCTGGGGCGCATGGAGGGCCTGAGGCCTGGCTGCCCCAAGGCTGTGTCTCACATGCCCCAAGGCCCATGGCCACTGCAGCACATGGGGAGATGCAGGAAAACGAATGGGGCCATCAGGGAGACACAGGACCGGCAGATCTTCACCTTCATCTTCAGCATATTGAGTCATGTCTTGGAACAATTCAATTTGACCCAAGGGTGGCGCTTCTGAGGAATGTTTGACCTTTGCTGTTCTGTCCCATCCCAGAGGCATAAGCAAAGATGTAGAGGAACGAAGGCTGTCATGAGCAGGCTGAGAACCCAGGCATCCAGGCCCCATGCTGGCTGTTTGCTCTATCCTGACTGCCTCAGAAAAGCTTACCTTAGGGGAAACGAAATCTCCATACGTCTTAAAACTGTTTGGGGTTCAGGTGTTGGAAAATGCTCAGCAATGAGGCTCTTTGACTGCTGGTAGCAGCCCTGCCTCCTTTACCACCTGGCACCTTGTCCCTGGAAGGGGAGGAAATGGGGGTAGGTTTGCGAGTAACTGTTTGCAAGTATCTGTTGTGGGCCCTCAGACAGCTTGGACACTAAGAGAGGTGTTTCCCAAGAAATACTTTCCTTAAGAAAGTCTGGGACATTTGAAGGTTTCTTGACAACATCTTGTTCTATCCTCTGTCCTGCCCACCTCCACCCCAGCTTTCCCTGTACAGTGTGCTAGCATGGTGTCATACCAGGCCCTGAGTGATAGGGGATCCTGAGGCCAGGCTGGAAGCATTGGGAGACTAGAGGAAGAATGGGAGGCAGTCAAGGGAGTGGCTGAACCCAAGCATGGCCTCCAAACAGGGTGCACAGCTCCTGGCCAGTGTTCGGGAGCTGAGCAGCCACCATTAGCAGCTGCCAATGTGACATGCTCACTGTGTGCCAGACACCATGTAAGGTACTGTCCACCCATCATCTTCTTTAATACCCACCATGACGGCATGAGGCAGATATGATTGCCATCTCTGTTCACTTATCTGCAAGACAATAGTTATGCACCTACTGGGTGCCAGGTGCAGGGCTATGTGCTGAGAATGCAGTGGTAAACAAAAGACTGCGTCCTGTCTCTGTTACAGTGCTGCATCCAGCTGAGAACCAGAGAGGAACTGGGTCCCTACAAACCGCGATGGTAGGGAAATAGAATGGGCTCTCAGGCTGGGGTCAAGGAGGGCTTGGGAGCAGGGTGGGAGAAGGGC